TGTTAATTTTTGCATTCTTCTTCTTCTTCTACTTCTGCCTTTCTATCCCCCCAGTGGAGCATAGGCCCCAAACCAACTCACGTCAAGTCGTTCTATCCCTTGCCATTGCATGGAGCTCTCCCTATGTCCTCCCCATCTTTCTAACTTCATTCTCCAGCTCTCTTCTCCGTGTGCTTTTTGGCCTTCCTTTATTCCTATGCCCTGTGGGTTTTTATGCAAGGACATTCTAGTTATGCTGTTCTTCTGTTTTCTCAGTGTATCCTATCCAACGCCAGCGTCTTTTCCTCACCTCTGTTTAGTCTCCCAAAGTTCTACATTTGTTATTCTATCATACCATTTAATCCCCTATATTCTTCACAGGCACCAGTTAATGTATGTCTGTAATTTATTAGTAACTGCTTTAGTTGTTCTCCGTGTTTCCGCCCCATGCAAAATACTGATTTTGACATTAGAATAAAAAATTTTAAGTTTAGTATTTCTTTTAATTTCTGTTGACCTCCACAAATTCCCTAATGCTTTGAAAGCTCCTCTTGCCTTTTTGTATTCTTATTTTAATATCTCTATCAGTTCCTCCATCTTTATCTACATTACTGCCCAAATAGCTGTACGACTCTAGGTTTTCGATAAGGGTGCCATTAAAAGAAACCACATTACTATTTGCCTGATTCATTCTCATTATCTTTGTTTTTCCTTTTCGAGGGATGTATTTTTATTCCTAATGCAAAAATCTTTTGATAAAGTATAATACATTTTTGCATTAGGAATAAAAATACATCCCTCTAAAATAGGCCCTAGTGGATTTATAAGAAAAAAATACTACAAGACCGGGTCTTATTGCCGTGGAAACATGACATTTGATCTATCATAATGGGATGCTTGCAGCATATCCGTTTTGGATGGTGACATGGAGGAATGTGTGTATCAGAAAAGAAGGATATGAGAAGTTCGACAAAGCAGAGAACCGGTTTATATGAAATGGTGAAATGCCTAAAAGGATTAATCACAATTAACAATTTACAACGTACCGACTTCATTAACGTCTGAGACAGTTGAGAAAATTGTATAGCTACAATGTGCATCATGTCTGCTTTGTGTCAGATTCACGAAGATGATGACTTTGACAATGGGATGAAGAAGAAAACAAGAAGAAGAGGAGGAGGAGGAGAAGGAATAATAATAATAATAATAATAATAATAATAATAATAATAATAATAATAATAATAAGAAGAAGAAGAAGAAGAAGGAGAAGAAGAAGAAGAAGAAGACGAAGAAGAAGAAGAAGAATAAAAAGTGGGAGAAGAAGAAAAAGAAGAAGAAGAAGAAGAAGAAGAAGAAGAAGAAGAAGAAGAAGAAGAAGAAGAAGAAGAAGAAGAAAAAGAAGAAGAAAGAAAAAAAAAGAAGCAGCAGCAGCAGAAGAAGAAGAAGAAGAAAAAGATGGAGATGAAGAAAAAGGAGAAGAAGATTTGACCAACCAAATAAGGAAACAAACAGACACAAGGCAAGGTGGAATAAGAGGGAGAAATGATGAAAAGTGATAAAAAAATAATTAGTGGATGAAATTGAAAGAAACAATCAGATGCGGAGAAGATGGTATAGAATCATACGTTATTAGATGCCAGCTGGGATGTAATTTGCTGAATAATTACGCTGCCTTCCGCATGCACAATATACATAGCTTCTGCTGCGGTCCCTTAGAGATACGATATTGTTACAACCCCCTGCTCCCTACCATTCACTTTATTTTTCCCTTCCCAGGTGACTTTACGGTCCACATTAAGAATCCTTGGTGTATACATACACAATTTTCGCTCTGCAATATGCCAGGGACTAGATAACAATCTAATCCGTGCCCATAGGTATTTCTAGTTCAGATGTTTATAAAAGCATTGAAACCTAGATCAATCCCAACTGAATTTCTTAACATAGAGCATTTTAATTGACGAACGCTTGACTGCGAAATGAGACCACGGGAGAGAATTCTTCTTCTGCCTTTCCAACTTTCAATAGAGCATAGGCCCTCAACTAGTTCACGCCAAGTGGTTCTTTCCTTCGCTATCGCATGCAGCTCTCCCCGTGTCCTCCCTATCATTTTAACTTGACGGTCTAGCTCCCTTCTTAATTTTTTTCGGGGGGGGGGGGGGGGGGGGGGGGGGGGGGGGGAGTTTATTTCTATGACCCTGTGGTTTCAGTGCATAGACATTCTGACTACATTGTTCTCAGGTTTTCTCAACCTGTGTCCTATCCAACGCCAGCGTCTTTTCTTCACCTCTTGGTCCACTGGAACTTGTTTAGTTCTTCCGCCAAAGCTCTACATTAGTGATTCTATCATACCATTTAATTCTCTCTTTTCTGCACAGGCATCGGTTAATGAATGTTTGTAGTTATTTCTCCTTAATTGTTCTCTATGTTTCCTCTCCATGCAACAGTATCAATGTGACATTAGAAATAAAGTCAAGTATATATGTTCGTACGTATTTGTCTTTTGGGTACTAATGGCAACATGGAATGTGATTGTCGTTGTAGGATTAATGATACTACTACAGCAACTACTCCTGCTGCTGCTACTGCTGCTGCTGATAATGATAATGATGATGATGCAGCTTATAATTCTACAAAAACTGGCAGTAGTCAGACATAAGGAAAAAACAAATAACTGAATTTTATAACAAACAAACGGCCGAACTTTAAAACAAACAAATGAGCTAACTTTTAAAAAAAAAAAGGTCTGCACACTGTCTCTTTTTAAAATTTTGAAGTTTATTAATATATATCAAGCAAGCAATTTTTTATGCAACTAAGTGCTTGAGGAAAGAAAAATTAAAAACAGCAAAATAGTTTCCCTATTTGACTGCATGTCAGTCCTCGAGGCGGTTCAGATGGATCTAGGAAACAATATGGAGAGAGAATTGACCCGCCAGCTCCAGAAAACATTCAGAAAACAATCAAATCCTTCTCCAGTAAATCCCCGCTCACTGAAGCATACCAGAAAATGAGCTAGCGAACAGACTAAAAAAAATGGAAAACAAGTTAAACAACACACCCATCCATTGTCATTACCAGAAATCAGAATACTTATCAAAAGAAAATACTACAGTAAACACCCACCCCCGTGTGGGCTCCCGGGCCCCATTGTGGGGAAAACAAGAATAGACCCACTTCCTCCCCAAAAGCATGTCGTAAGAGTCGACTAATTGGGGAGCTTCCTTTGAAGTCGGAGTGCAAGGAACCAACAGTCTGTATTCAAGAGAATGAGATCTGTAAAACTGATGTACACGCAACACTCATGTTCTGGAGCAGGACTGCAGTTCAGTAGTGGACTAGCGACCAGAACCTTCCCCCAGAGTTTACAGCTGGTGAAAGCGAAGAAGAAGAAGTAAACACCCATAAGACCCCACCAACAGACTCAACAGAAAGCAATACAAAACAATTTTTCCATCTACGAACAGGACACTGCAGGCTCAACAGCCACATGCATAAAATAAAAAATGCATAGTCCCCACAGTGTGCCTGTCAGACAAGGCCACATACTCATGAGCACATTCTGCAGTCCTGCCCACTCTACCTACAACTTCGATAAGAAACCTGGGGCCAACAAGATCAAAGAGTGCAGAGCAAGCTATGGGGAACCGTGAAGGACCTGCTGCTGACAGGCGAGTTCATAGAGGCAACCATGACACACTGAGGCAAACCTTTTGGCCAGAAAGAACAACAGTGGAACCTAAACTCCATGGACCACTGAATGAACTAACAACGACAGTGAAATTTATACAAGAGACAAAACTGCTGATATAGACAACTTATTTCAGGCGAATGAAAGAAGGAGAAGAAGAATAGAGGCAACCCACCTGATGGTCTGACCCGAGCATAGCAAACTAAAGGCAAAGAAGAATATCCAGTACTTTGAACTTTTAAAACACCGAACAGTAAAATAAAAAGATTTAACAAAGAACATATAAACACTATAAACTTACTCGTCATGCGATATATTTACACATGCAAACACACTCACATACACACCCGCACGGATATGTAGACCTAAATGACAAGTCCCTTGAGTAGTTCGCTCTCGTTACAAACAGTTGAAACATTTGGAGCTTTCACTACTTGTAAAGAAAACAGGTCGTAAGAGTCGACTAATTACGAGCTTCCTTCAAAGTCGGAGGGCATCAGCCTGAGAGGCAAGGAACCAGCAGTCATCATACAAATGAGTCAGATCTGTGAAACGGATGCACACGCAGTACTCGGGTTCTGGAACGGGACTGCAGTCCAGAAGTGGACGAACAACCATAACTTTCCGCCAGAGTTTACAGCTGGTCAACGCGAAGGAGAAGATAAACAATAAGCTGTTTTGTATTTGTATGTCCAGGGTGGGTATTTTTATTGTCATGTCTAATTTGTGTGTGTTTAAGTATCTAGCATGCTCTCAATGTCCTGCGTGTGCGCCTTTGTTTGTTTGTGTTTGTGATTGTGTGTGTATGTGTGTTTGTGTGTGGTCCCTGTTTCCTTTGTCGTGAACCACTACTACCACGTTTTTACTACATCTGTAGTTTTCCGACGACATGATATTGTATATATCAGTTTGCTTCGGTCGAAGAAGAAGAAGAAGAAGAAGAAGAAGAAGAAGAAGAAGAAGAAGAAGAAGAAGAAGAAGAAGAAGAAGAAGAAGAAGGAGGAGGAGGAGGAAAGTATTAATAATAATTATAATGAGGAGGAGGAAGACGCAACAGCTGAGTTTGTGGAAGTAGGGAAGATAGAAGAAGAAGAAAGAACGAAATAAAGAAAGGGAGAACAAACATGTATGACAGACAGACAGACAGAAAAAAAAAAGAAAAGAAAGAAATCGTGCGTACTAAGCCATAGAACTATGTTATGTTGTCCACAGAGGGAACCAGTAGAAACAAATGCAGGAAGTGAACTTCCGTCCAGCTACACGTTAAAATCACAGCTCCAGGCGACACCACAGCAGTCAGCAGATGAAAGGGACAGGTGCGATAAACTGATGGTCCCTCAGGAACAACATCCTACCTGCCATGGAGGACCCAACCCCGGTGAGACTTCCCCTATTCACAGTTGTACCTGCCACCCGAGGGAACACAATCCACACTTGACCCGTGACATCATCCTGGAAACTCCCGTACCCTCATGCGCTAGGGATGAAAATAGAGCTGTGGTTCCGGATTCCGCACCAGCGGTTTCGGAAAGTAATCCTTCAATCAACACTTCCTTGGTATATAGCACATTAGCAAGCGCAAATGGAAATTTAAGCCCCACATGTGAGGACTCGACTGTCAATGCGAACAAACAGACGAGTTTCAGTTCGGATATTTGCAATACCGCCACAGAAGAAGCAGTACTAGATATGGATTATCCTATTCGAGGAACAATTTCACCACTAACGAACAAGATGGCCGTTAAAAGATCTTTAGGGACTGTAGACGAAGTCTCTTTTGTTTTCGGACGACCAGTTTCTCCAACCAACGAACATGACATCAGATGTAATCCTCCGCAGTCTTTCACCAATCCGGGCATTGCACGATGTATGTCAGCGTCTCCGGCACGCTACATCCCTGGATATTGCCTACAACGTCCAATGTCTCCAAACAGTGATGTTCTTCCGGTGAGACGAGGCATTGTTCTTGGAGCTAGAAGGGTCCTGTCTCCTCCGCCAGTTCTGGGAGTAGGCGCAGCTGCTGAGCCCAGAATGCACAACCAAGGAGGGATTTGCTGTGAGCACTGCAATGGTTGTCTTGTGGAGTTGAAGCGCCAGGCACTGAGACTTATGTTTCCTGACAATGATTCCGGGAGTCACTTGGCCCAGGTAGGTGTTTACATTTTATGATGCATTTTCTCTTGTCAGTAATTAATTCTTCTATTCAGTGACTATTTGAATGCTTATATGATATTATAATTCTGTCATTTATTCTTAGACGCACTTTGCCAGAAAGGTGTTGGTTACACGGGGAACGCCTACTCAAAGACCTGGCTAACATAAATCACATAATACCAGACAATTCGATAAAAGTTTGTTAGTTACCTGGCTAACATAAATCACATAATACCAGACAATTCAAATATAAGTTTGTTAGTTACCTGGCTAACATAAATCACATAATACCAGACAATTCGAATATAAGTTTGTTAGTTACCTGGCTAACATAAATCACATAATACCAGACAATTCGAATATAAGTTTGTTAGTTATCCAACAGATCATGAACTTTTCCTAACTCCAACTTTTCCATGTAGATGCTACATTTAGCTCACCTTCTTATAGCTATTTGAATTAATTTCCCTGCTGTGTTGTTGGCACCTTTCTACCCCCCCCCCCCCCACAATGGTGTTATATTTTGTTTACAGGTAGACACGAGAATTACAGCCCGTGGCGATGGCGAGTAGGACTAGCAAGATCCGCTAGGGTTAAGAAAAGTCTTACACAATTCGAGCCTGTGATTTCAGGACCTCTGTGTTTACAGCCTGTATTTAACGCCCTTGTCAGACGTTCAGATTTTAAGCTATCCGCAGTCAGTTTCTCCTTATTTCCGTGCTCTTCCTGTGTTTTTTTTTTTCCTTTTTTTCCCACGCAATTCAGTCTGTCTAATCATATTCACTCCAATACATATATCCTTCATGATACACGCATCCTCACCAGACAGTATTTTTTTTTTTTTAAATCACGACTTCGAAACGTTTGGCTAGAAAGCCTTCATCAGCACACAACAACAAAAATAATATGGTAACAAACATTTTTTTTAAAAGCCCGACATTAAGCATGAACAAGTAACTCGAAGAAAGACATGCGTGGCTACAACAGCCGGCATATTTGAAAAATACCCTCCAGTGGAAAAAAAACAGTGAAAAGAAATGGGTCATCCTGCTAGTGAAAAGGCTCACTGTTTGAATGGAGACACTTGATGTTTGAAACGTGTATTGATCTTGTCTGGCAACTTTGTTCCAGTTATGCCACACATTTGACGGTCCAGACAAACCAAAGAAAAGAACCTTTTACTCTATGGGGCATTTATTCCCGACTTCAACTCCTCTGAATCCATTCCTGATCCTTTACAATCCAATTGTCCCCAAGTCACCGATCCTTCTGCGGTGTGGTGAGTTCACAAATCTAATTCTCACTTTACTTTCAAGAAACAGGTTGAAACTTTCTCTATATACAATTTGTATGCACTGTGAGTGTGATCCCATTCAGCCAAAGAGGCGACGCGTGATGGGAATTTACTAGTTAAATACTATTGAAGTACCACAAAACGGATACGAAGTAAGATGGAGTCTAGTATGTGTGTGTTGGTTTGTTATTTGTGAATTGTCTTGTTGATTGATTTGAGGTCATGCTTCCTAGACCAAGCGATGTCCAACAAGGTGTAGCGGTGTCCTGCCTTTTCAAAAGATCAGTGCTAGAACCGCAATTGTTTATAAAACGATACACGTTAGGATATCCTGATGTCAGACACAAACAGACGCACACACACACACACACACACACACACAAAGAGTGAGGGAAAGGCGAGATGATAGCTTTATTGACATACAGACAGACAAACAGACAGAGTGAGGGATGCAGTGATAAGTAGTTGTTTGGACGAATGGATGGATTAGACAGATAGACTAACGGACGGACAGACAGAAAAGGGGATGGGTGGTAGAGGCTTAAATTGATGAATGGATGAATTAGACAAATGGGCGGACAGACAGCCAAACAAAAGGAAAGACAGATATACACAGGGAAAGAAAGAAAGACGGAAAGTCAGACAGACAGACAGACAGACAGACAGACAGACAGACAGACAGACAGACAGAGAGATAGACAGACAGACGGACGGAAAGTCAGACAGACAGACAGAGACAACAGAGAAGCAAAAAATACATATGCAGTGTTATATGCCAGTCTTTGCGTCAATGGGAACTGTCTCCGAAACTAAATACAGCCAAAAGAAAATTTAAGGAAGAAAACACATATACAGTGAAGATTGAAACACACACACACACACACGCACTCACTCACAAACACTCACACACACATATATGCAAGTGCCCGCAGTAATGTCTGATTTGAATGCTGACACTTAACTGCACTCTGCCAGCTAAATATGGATAGTGCTATAGAACGCCGACAGACAGTGAAAACATTCTGGGAAACATCCGTTATCAAACATGGAAAACTCAGTCAGCCTTTTTGAGAGAGAGAGAGTAAAAGCTGAAATAGGGCTGCCTTGAAGGCGTGTATCAGTTTGAAGCAATGTTTCTCAACCTTTTCACATCCGCGGCCCACCAAAATGGTTGAAATTGTTGCCCAGCCCATCTGAGAGCTAATAAACCACGGAAATAAAACTGACATATATAACGCCACAGGCGTCGTGATCTAGCGGCTAGACGCTCGCCTGCGGGTCGGAATGTCGTGGGTTCGGATCCTGGTGAAACCAGATTTTTTTTTCAAAAAACATTTTGGCTCCCATATCGACCCAGCTTCGAGTCCCAGGGGAAGTCCTGGTAACTAAAGGCGGTCGGCATGGTGCTGACCACGCACCAAGTGCTGATTGGTCTATATAATTTCGGTCTAGCACTATATGCCGAATACGCCTGATGGGTGGACAAGAGTCTTTTACTTAACTTACAACGCCACACTAGCTTTGCAGGTATCATGTAGAGTGGTAGACGATATATAGGTTCTTGCCTTTATTCTCAGCCCAGACTGGACTGATTGGCACCTTTCCGTCTTTCCAGACGATAGTGTTAATATTGCTCTATGAAGAGGCAAGGGACTCACAGCCCATGGCGATGGAGAGTGGGACTAGAAAGACCCGCCCGCGTTATAAAATGTCTTCCACAATTATAGCATGGATTTCAGGACTGTTGTTGTCAACATTTGTGTTTAGTCTGTTTCTTCTTGGGCGCTCAGCTCTCATCCTTTCTGCAATAATTTCTTCCTTCATTCTCATTTCTTTCCTGGAGTGCTGCCTCCACACAACACGGTCAATTATAATGTGTTCCCACGAGTCGACCTCAATACCTGTATCATTCATGGCCTGCTTGAACACAAATTTGTATCGTTGAAGAGGTCGACATAATGGGCTACAGGTTGCGTAACTGTCAGATGCCAGTTCCAGGATTTGTACTTGCTGGTTTAAAATTTTTTTTTTTAGTTTTTGAAGTTTACAGACAGCAGTCGAGGAAGAGCAAAACTTGTTACATGATTAGGTGGACATGTTTTGGCGACCCATGTATATTTTCCCGCGGCGGTCTATCAGTGGGCCCCAGTCCACAGGTTAAATAACACTGGTTTAAAGCAGTGGTTCTAAAGCTGAATTATTGACGTTCAATCGCCCCGAGACTGCACAACGAGCAACAAATACCCGGTGACACCAAGTGCCACCATTCGAATGAGAATCGCCCCGGCGCAAGTCCGTAAACACCGGTTCAGCCTTTAGGCTATATTAGGGTACGTGCCAAAAAGTTGGGGCGGGGCTTTAAAATCCCCCCCCCCCCCCCCCAAAAAAAAAAAAAAAAATTCCTTCCCATATTGGGACTTTAATAACAACCTTGGTTCTAAGGTTGTTTCCAGATGCCTTTTGTATCCTCTGCCTAGTCACATCCTGGTCATCTTCTTGCTTGCTATGCTACATTATTTTCTTTTCTTGTCCCTAATAATTTAGTCCTTTTTAATTTATATATATATATATATATATATATATATATATATATATATATATATATATATATATATATATATATATATATATATATATATATATATACAGCCTTCATGAAGGCTACCGAACTGCTATAAATTGTCTGACAGAAGGATCGAGGAATAAGAAGAAGAGTCTTCCATCGTACTTCTACCCTCATCTGCTTTAACATGGCAGGCACTTATTGTTTTCTCTTTTGTGCCCACACACAACCACATAACATTTTTCGAAACGTCTGTTGTAGATTACGCCCCAGAGAGCTATAGCGGCAAGATCCCTTGTTTCCAGCAGCAGAAACGTACCAGAATCATAGGAGATGAACCCCCTCGCTCATTTTCCTCTAAAGTGTCGTTCCCGAAATTGCTCTTAATTTAAGAGCAGGCAAAACGCTGGGCCACTGTATGTCTGCATGCGCCACTTAAGGTTGACGCGAGAACAACAAAAGCCTACACAAAACATATAAAGAACGGACAGGCAACAAGCCAGCCACAATAAACAAGAAGTCAATGATTGGCGGTGTGCGCCTACAAAGTAGACAAATATGCGGTGCTGGGTTTTAAGTTTTGTTGTTGTATAGAAAGAACACTATTTTCAGTTGGCAGTAATGCCAGGTTCGATAGCGCAGTTGGTTAAAGCCCACTGCTCGGCGACCGAATGACGAACGCCGTTGGGTTACTGGTTCAAGCCTCAGGGTAAGCAGAAAAGCAACATTTCTCCCAGATTTACGGTATCAATCATGGACTCAAGGCCTGAGGGTTGCGATTTCCATAGTACCGAGCAAAAGGGTTTAAAAATCGTGGTTTCTGGATACATTAAAAAAAATGGCTGCAGCGTATTATTGACTTACTCGATAGGGCCATACGGAACAGTGTTACTATGTATACTAGATCGGGTTTATACACTTTTAACACTTAGCAGCAATAAAAGCTGCCTGCTTATCTGTCTGTCTGTGTGTCTGTCTAATCCATCCATCCATACATCCACCCGCCAACTTATCTCTCTCACTCTCATCGTCTGTCTGTCTGTCTGTCTGTCTGTCTGTCTGTCTGTCTGTCTGTCTGTCTGTCTGTCTGTCTGTCTGTCTGTCTGTCTGTCTGTCTGTCTGTCTGTCTGTCTGTCT